GCTGCTCTCACGCTGCGCTGCTCACTGTGCTGCTCTCACTGTGCTGCTCACATTGCTGCTCACACTGCGCTGCTTGCTGCGCTGCTCACGCTGCGCTGCTCTCACTGTGCTGCTCTCACTGTGCTGCTCACATTGCTGCTCACACTGTGCTGCGCACACTGTGCTGCTCACACTGCGCTGCTCACATTGCTGCTCACACTGTGCGGCTCACACTGTGCTGCTCACACTGCGCTGCTCACATTGCTGCTCACACTGTGCGGCTCACACTGTGCTGCTCACACTGCGCTGCTCACATTGCTGCTCACACTGTGCGGCTCACACTGTGCTGCTCACACTGCGCTGCTCACATTGCTGCTCACACTGTGCGGCTCACACTGTGCTGCTCACACTGCGCTGCTCACATTGCTGCTCACACTGTGCGGCTCACACTGTGCTGCTCACACTGCGCTGCTCACATTGCTGCTCACACTGTGCGGCTCACACTGTGCTGCTCACACTGCGCTGCTCACATTGCTGCTCACACTGTGCGGCTCACACTGTGCTGCTCACACTGCGCTGCTCACATTGCTGCTCACACTGTGCGGCTCACACTGTGCTGCTCACACTGCGCTGCTCACATTGCTGCTCACACTGTGCGGCTCACACTGTGCTGCTCACACTGCGCTGCTCACATTGCTGCTCACACTGTGCGGCTCACACTGTGCTGCTCACACTGCGCTGCTCACATTGCTGCTCACACTGTGCGGCTCACACTGTGCTGCTCACACTGCGCTGCTCACATTGCTGCTCACACTGTGCGGCTCACACTGTGCTGCTCACACTGCGCTGCTCACATTGCTGCTCACACTGTGCGGCTCACACTGTGCTGCTCACACTGCGCTGCTCACATTGCTGCTCACACTGTGCGGCTCACACTGTGCTGCTCACACTGCGCTGCTCACATTGCTGCTCACACTGTGCGGCTCACACTGTGCTGCTCACACTGCGCTGCTCACATTGCTGCTCACACTGTGCGGCTCACACTGTGCTGCTCACACTGCGCTGCTCACATTGCTGCTCACACTGTGCGGCTCACACTGTGCTGCTCACACTGCGCTGCTCACATTGCTGCTCACACTGTGCGGCTCACACTGTGCTGCTCACACTGCGCTGCTCACATTGCTGCTCACACTGTGCTGCTCTCGCTGTGCTGCTCACGCTGCTGCTCACGCTGCGCTGCTCTTGCTGCTCACGCTGCGCTGCTCTCGCTGTGCTGCTCTCGCTGTGCTGCTCACGCTGGTGAGTTCTCCGGTTGAATTCTCCATCTCTGGGCCGGCCGGTGCCCGGTGTTTGTGCTCAGGGGCTGACTAATACTGGCCGGTGGGATGGAACAGTGTCGTGGAAGTGAAGTGGGGTCCCCTCTGCCCGCTGGTCTTGGGGAGACACAGTTTCTCTTCTGGAACCGGATTCCTTCCTGGGCCTGTCTGGGGGCTGGAGGCCAGTAAGCCCTGGAGGGTGTGAGCTGGGCTGGCGATGCCCACTCCTTCCCTGGTCTTGCCTTTCCAGGTCCCTCTGATGCAGTGGGAGGCGGGAGACTGGTGGTTAGAGGGTGGGGCTGTGTGCGCCAGGAGGCACATGTAAGTGAGGGTGGTGCCGGGGACTGACCAGCGGCTGGGCTGCATGGTGTAGCAGCGCCGGGGAGCACCATCCCAGGTTCTGCGGCACAGGGTGCCACCTGGAAATAGCACTTCCGCCCCATCTGGCCGAACTCACCTGAGCTGGAAGGAACGGGGCAGGGAGCTGTCCCCAGGGCTGGTGCTGGGAGAGGGAGCCAGCCGTCCGCTCCCTCTGGCTCCTGCCCTGGGGCATTTTGTTGCCATACCAAGCTGTTCACACCGTGCAGGCCACTTCAGAGCCAGGTGTGCCCACTCGCCGCCCACCAGCAAGCCGTGCTGCTCAGTGCTGTGCCCACCCCCTCCCTCTGGAGCCGAACGCTACAGGGGAGCTAACGCCTGCCCAGCTCCCTCGGAAATGGCCTGAGAGGAGGCATTTCCCTGCCCTCGACGCTCCTGCAGGGAGTCAGATGGGGCGAGCGTGAGGGGAGGAGGGAGAGGAGGGACCGGTGTGTGGGCAGCCCAAGAAGTCATGGATGGCGCAGCCGGCGGCTGTGGGTAGCCATGGGCCAGGCTGCCATCGCCCATCACAGGGCCAGAGCATGAAGATGGGGAGCCCCTGACAGCGAGGCCCTGCTGAAAAGATCCACAAACTGAAATACCCCCCTGCCGCCATTTCTTCCTCTACACACGTGCACCCACATGCACACACATGTGCACATGCATACCACTGTGCACACCCACATACACACCATGTATGTGCTCACGTGTATATGTATATGCTGTGCATACCCTGTGCTTGTGCACACAGGCACACCCATGCACACTTCTCCATGCATCTGCACACCTCCACACACATGCAACCCCCTGTGCATGACAGGCACCACACTGCACCTGTGCGCACCCCCACAGGCACCCCCACATGCACACCCCACAGATCCGTATCTTCCCACCGTCGCATCGCTTCCTGCCGGCCTTTTGTGGGTCGGAAATTCCCAGAAGCAGGGGCTGCAGGGAGAGGTGCTCCCGCCTCCCACATGCAGTCTGTGAGACGGGCAGGCGCAGGGCTGGTCCGGGCGGCTCTGCCCGGTCCTCGCGGGTGTAGGTGCGAACGCACACCTTGCTCACACAGGGCAGGGTTGCGTGAACAGCTCAGCGCCCTCGGGAAATGGCCCAGGACGGTGTTTTTGGAATATGTTATCAGATATCATTTTAAAACAACTCAAATAATAAAAAGAAAGAAAACCACGGCCCCAGAGGCCGTTGGGCAGCCATGTCTCCAGGAGCCACAGCCCGGCTGGGGCGGAGCGGATTTCCGTGGGGCATCAGCCCGGCTGCAGCAGAGCCTCGCGGAGAAACATGGCGGCGGGGCCCACTCCTGGTGCCTCTGACTTCACGGGTCTGGGGGGGACCAAGTTACAAAGCCCCCGGGTGACCTCATGAGCAGTGAGGGTTGAGATGGGGGACGTCCAGGCTGTGGCTCCTCTAAGCCCACCCCCCCCATACCTGGTCCGTGGGGGGATAGCTGTGGGTTGGGACACTGACAGGTGTGAACTAGTCCCATGGCTTATGCAAAGAGCTGTGTTCTGTCCCCAGGGCAGGGCGTGGGGGCTCAGGTCCTAGGAGATGTGTAGAAAGAGTGCAGACTCCTCCCCGCCCATGTTTGCACCCGAAAACATTCCCGATCCCCATTCCCGATCCCCGTGGCCGCAGGGTGGAGCCAGGCGGAGGGGGCAGGCCGAGGAGGCACCTGGGAGGTGGCCCAGACCGTGGGGGCATCAGGTGGGGGCCGTGCTTTGTGCCACGCCCTTTCTTGGTCGTACATTTTCCTGTGACAGGTGTGGGCCGGGCTGTGAGACCCTCAGGCTCATTCTTGGCCGGGACCACCCTCAGGTGCAGGGCCAGCCCTTCCTCCGGCGGGGACTCCGGTACAGACGGAGGGTTTGCTGAGTTGCTGGAGGACCCGACGGCAGCATTTATTGTCTCTGTCTGGAGCGGAAGTCCCGACGAGGGTGTAGCGCCCCGGTGTCGGCAGGGCGCGTCCTTCCCAGGCTGTGCGGGGTCTGGGGTCTGCCTCAGGCCTCTCCCCTGCTTCGGGGTCCTTGGCGTTCACTGGTTTGTAGAAGCATCGCCGAGACCTCTACCTTCATCCTCACATGGCCTTCTCCCTGTGCGTGTGTCTCTATCCAAATTTCCTCTTTTATAAAAACAAATATTTTTTTTTAAAAAAAATTGACTTCAGAGAGAGGAAGGGAAAGGGAGAGAGAGTAGAAACGTTGATGAGAGAGAAACATTTATCAGCTGTCTCCTGCACGCCCCACACTGGGGATCAAGCTGCAACCCAGGCATGTGCCCTGCCCGGGAATCGAACTGGTGACGTCCTGGTGCCTGGGTTGACGCTCAACCAACTGAGCCGCGCTGGCCGGACAGATTTCTGTCTTATAAGGATGCCGGTCACGGTGGATGTGGGCCCTCTGCTTGGTGACCTCTGTGAAGACCTGCCTCCACACAAGGTCACATTCTGGGTGCGGGGGGTTAGGACTCCAACATATGGATTTGGGGGGACATAATGCATCCCATAGCAAGATGGTTACCGTTTGAGCGGAAAGGGGTTTGGGACGGAGATAGCGTGGGCTACATGCGTGGCGTTGCCGCGGGTTCTGCAGGAGGAGGGGGGCTTCCCCGCAGCCTTGCCTCCCGGCCTTGGGGAGCCGTTCCATGTGAGCGGCACTGAGTTAATTTGAAAATAGGTCAACGGGATGTGAGGTCATTTGAATTCTGAGCGTTGCGGCTCGGCTTCTGCGACAGAGGCCTCTCCCTGGGCTGGGAAATGGCCTGTGCGGGGACGCGGGGACAGACGCTGCGGGGACATTCGCTGCAGTTCATTCACAGATGTTCTCAGCAGATGTCTGGCCGCGGCCGAGCAGCGGGACGAGCCGCGTTCTCCGCTCCCCGCGCGCTGGCGTTTTAATTAACTGGCTCACCGCAGT